CGCCCCCTCCAGCTCCACCCGCGCCCTTGCCCCCCTTGCCCTTGCTGGAGCGACGTCTCCCACTAGGGGCAGACGCCGCGCCGACCGACTCAAGACCAAGCAGGTCGGCAGCAGCAGCAGAGGCAACAGAGGGCAGCAAGGGGGAAGGAGAGCACCCCTCAAAGATGGGGGTGCGAGGGTCACCACGAGAAGCACCTACAGCGACTATGCTCTTCTCCGCTGCGAGGAGGGCCTTCTCGAGGAGGTCGACGGTGAGCGTGGTGGGGCAGACTGCGAGAAAGTGGTCCCTGACGACTCGAAGGGAGTCAGGGAGGCGCGCGACTACGTAGTAGAGAGCGATGTACATGGGGGGGGGGTTCTTAGCGCAGAACTCAGCAGGAAGGGCGGCGCGGTAGCGAGTGTCACTAGTGCGAAGATGCGTAATGAGGTCAGCGACAGTGGGAAAGGCAGAGAGGTCAGGAAAGAGGTAGGGAAGCATGAGACGGCTCAGTGCAGCAGTGGCAGGGGAGGAGTAGCGCGCAACTACAGCGTCGTACAAGGTCTGAGCACTCTTGTACTGACTGAAGTGCGCACGCTCAGAGGTAGGAAGGTGGCGACGCACAGCAAGACGTGCAGCAGCATCGCGGGTGGCCCACTTAGAGCGGACAGCGGGATCAGCATCAGTAGCAGGAGCAGGAGAGGTGCCAGAGGTGAGGTCAAAGAGAGAAAGGTCGTCAGCTCTGTCGCACTGTAAGAACAGCTGCAGGTCGTCTAGCCAGACCTCAAAATCAATGGCGCGACCCTCAGCGTCAAAAGCTAGGACACTAGGGGTAGTCATGACGACGACTGTGAAGCAGTGCAAGCAGTAGGGGGGAGAGCACGCAGTGACAGTGGGACTGTGCTCACCAGGCAGGGCAGGTCGCGTAGCTCGACAGAAAGGCAGCTCGGCGACCGGGCGGCTCGGGTGCACAGCGGCTCGGCTCCCGGGCGGCTCGGCGGCAGGGCAGCTCGGGGGCAGGGCGGCTCGGCTCCCGGGCGGCTCGGCGACAGGGCGGCTCGGGTGCAGGGCGGCTCGGCTCCCGGGCGGCTCGGCTGCAGGGCGGCTCGGCTCCCGGGCGGCTCGGCGGCACAGCTGCTCAGAGGTCCGCCCGCACAGTCGCTACAGGTGGACGGCGGGGCCGATGCGTAGTGGGCGGCGAAGCCGCGGTTGAGCAGGCGGCGGCCGCAGCCTAGTGGGCTGGGAGGCCGCGGTCGTAGCAGGCGGCGGGGCCGTGCGAGCAGGCGGCTGGGGCCGCGGTAGTAGGTGGGCGGGGGGGGCCGCGCGAGAAGACGGTCGGGGCCGCTACGGTAGTAGGCGGCGGGGCCGCGGTCGAACAGGCGGCTGGCGCCGCGGTCGTAGCAGGCGGCGGGGCCGTGCAAGCAGGCGGCCGGGGCCGCGGTAGTAGAGGGCGGCGAGGCCGCGCTAGCAGGCGGCCGGGGCCGCGACAGTAGCGGGCAGCGGGGCCGCGGTCGAACAGGCGGCTGGGGGGCCGCGGTCGAGCAGGCGGCCGGGGCCGCGGTAGTAGCGGGCGGCGAGGCCGTGCGAGCAGGCAGCCGGGGCCGCGACAGGAGCGGGCGGCGGGGCCGCGGTCGAACAGGCGGCTGGGGCCGCGGTCGTAGCAGGCGGCCGGGGCCGCGATCGTAGTGGGCGGCGGCCGCGGCGTAGCGGGCGGCAGGGCCGCGTCGAGCAGGCGGCTGGGGGGCCGCGTCGAGCAGGCGGCTGGGGGGCCGCGTCGAGCAGGCGGCTGGGGCCGCGATCGTAGCGGGCGGCTGGGGCCGCGACTTAGCGGGCGGCTGGGCCGCGTGTGGGAGGGAGGCGACATGGAGGGTCGCACGAGAGCGGAAAAAAAAGTTGAGCGCGCCTCGGGGCGCGCTTCGGTGGGCCCTAGGCAGAGTTCCACAGGGAACCCGCTCTATACCATGTGAAATGAGTAAGCAGGAATAGAATGACTAAGGAAAGATTGGGTACAAATACAACCCTAGAAACCCTGTACCCCATATGTGCTACCCCACTATAGCCTACAGCAACTATGTCATATAAATCTGACACGCACCACACGGGGGATCAGTGATGCGGCCAACAAAAAATGACTGGTCAAATATGCCAGCCAATCGCATGATCACGCGATCCTTCAGGGCAACTGCCTTCTAGCTTCAGCGAAGCTAAGGGCGTGTTACATTTTTCATCCGTCCGGACGATTGTGTGGTTACGAGACTCGTTGAATCTCGGCAGTGACTTCGTCAGGGACTAAACGACGTCACATTTTTTGTATTGCGTCCTTACGGCATCGCGTTAGTCGCAAAGCGACCGTGCGACGTCGCAATCTTCGCACGCGTCCGGACAGCCGTCCGGACGTTCAGTGACTTCGAAAAATGTAACACGCCCTAAATCCTAGATTGATGCCACTAATCTAGGCCCAACCGAACACTCAGGCCCATTTTTCCGAATTTGCACTGCAGCTACAGTCTGATTTCGCAACTGTTTCGAGGGGGAATTTTTTGGGTGCCCGTTAATAAATGCCCATAATAACCATAATGCCTGCCGAACTGGGCCCAGAGTTGTACACGCCCTGATTCTTGCTTTCTTGGTCATTTGTTCGCTCGTGCAGTTGGCAAGAACGATAGAAAGTTGGTGCAGTACAGCAGTCTTTCATCGTCATCATCATGACTTGACAGTCATGTTGGCTGCTGAGGCGTCACGCGAAGTTGCGAGCTTACCCGCGAAGGATGGAGCTCTCGCCGCGTCACACGCACGACCGCGGCAGCACAAACGGCACTTGCTGCTCATCGACTTCGGCGTTCCTGAGATGGGGGAAGTTCGGAGTGCTGCACTATTGGTCCAGCGTGGCAGTCCTGGGTATTTTGCACACCCACCACACGTGCCATGCGATGTCAGTCTCATTGTGCGAAAAACAAGTGAGAAAACTTCCAACCAATCACATGCTTCTGTATTCAACGTTCATGCGCCAATTCCAAACGGCCATTGATTTCTGCTGTTGGATTGGCGCCTGTTTTTCCTTATCCATTTGTCACGTTATTCTTTGACCTTTCTGAACGTGCCAAACCCAGTCACGACTCGGTCCTGTGACAGTAAAAAACGTCAGTGGTTCTGACGTTGGGCGTCAGGGGAAGTTGCCATGCGCAAAAATCGCACGACCCTCACCGCCCAACTCATGCGACGTCCAGATTCACTCCCCCCGTTGCTGCCATGCCTTAGGCACGTGTTATGTGCACTGTTGCTGGGGGAAGTTCGGATGGGGCCCCATCTCAGGAACGCCATCTTAACATTTTCCACACGACTCTCGTACTAGGCACCACCGTCATGCTTCTCGTATGGCTTGTCTGCAGTGCCAAGTCAAGTCTCATCTCAGTCGCTTCCCATCCCATGCGACGTCAGCAGCGTCGTCCGGCACTGTCGCCCCGTGTCCGACGATGACCGCACAGGTCGTCGTCGTCGCCCGACGTCGGGCCGCGCTGAGTCATCGCCGCGCCCCCGGCTCCACGCGCATCACACGCGAAGCCTCCTCTTTGCTGGCAAGAACCAACATTTTGGTGATGAAACTTTCGTCGTCCACTGCAGTGGAGGCTGCCGTTCGCGCTGTGTGTCCTCTTTAGCTCTTTGAAACAAACATATTCGTATTGTAAGCCTTTGCCAACACAACGCAAGCGACGGCGAACGGCGACTCGGTTGAGACCCACGAAATGCATTTCGTGCTCCGCCTTTTTCCGTCTTCTCGCAAGAAGATTGATATATTCCAGCCAGGTCCAAGAATCTCGAAACACGGTGATCTCCAAGGCGAGTCGAGTTTCAAGACGCTGAAAAACTCTCAAGTCGTGATGATTCTGTGTCCGCCAAGGCGTTTCGCACAGTCAAGTTTCTATTGGAAGTGCAAATCTTGGAAACGCAGCTCAGCCTCCCAGGCGGCCCGAGCAAAGCAGCCGTGACAGCAGGGTTCGAGAATTCTCAAAAGTGACACAACCGAGGCCGTGACCCCACCGTGGTCGCATCACCAGCTGTCTGCACGAGTCCTTACCTCACCGCTACTCTCCACTGCTCTACAAAATTCACAACGCCACATACCATGCCCAAATCTCGGTTTTCCCCATCTTTGCACACTAACCTTTGCACGAGCAATGACTAGGGTTACGTGAAACAGTGTTTAGGAGGGTAAGCAGTGCTGAACCTTTGCTGTAGGATAGGTGAACAATGTCTCCCCTTCCCCATTGTCTCTACAGCCGCTAGTAGTTTGCTTCCAAACCGTCCCACACGTGCCAACTTGTGCTAGTACATCGAATATACTTCGGTTGTCTTGGGTGTACAGTGGTGCCGAGCTTGCATGAATCTGGCATTTGAACTTGCATCGACGGAGGTTTAGTGGTGTTATAACCGAACAAACTATAGCGACACTTGAATCAGATAAGGTTTTGCTGACGCGTCAGAAAACTGCGTCGCGTCTGAAGGTGCGGTGTCACATTCAGATGTGACAGCGCGGGTGTGGTTTAGTGAGGCGAACAGAAACCCAAAATGCGAAGGGTTTCGATTTTGCCAATTTCGTCAGGTTCCCTCAGAACACAACGCAGCGAAATCTTTCCCAAATGTTGAATGATCTCGCCAACCCTTTCTCGATTTTGCCAATCCGCACGTGCGACACAACACCACACTGCCCTGCCACCTTCTAGTGCGTGAGATGCTCCCCTCAACCTTCAAACCCAGTCCACAGATCGAACCTGCTCATTTCACGTCTTACAATCTCGTGCAACGTTTTGTTCACTCAGCTTCCTCCGTCCTCCGGTTGCTCCAACCCACCCGTTTTTGCCCCATATGCGCGTTCTTAATACGTGTGTCTTTCTGTTTTTGCATCCTCCCTCTTACAGGCTAGTGAAAGACTGCTGGGCGGACGGTTTACGCTTTGAAGTTTGACTCGCCGCATGAAGCTCGCGATCAGGCTACCTTGTCACGCCCTATTCCCGATGGTAAATTCATGATCAGGTTAGGTGAGCTTTTGATTTACCCAAAAACGCATTGTCTACTACGCCGTTGTGAGTACGTGTTTCTTTGCAGAATACCAGCGCGTGTGACAACGCTCTATACCAGCGACTTCTGTGACTATCGCCACGCGTCTAAAAAGTTTAATCAAAGCTTATATTTTCCCTAAGTCTTATCGCCATCTTATTGCCGAACAAATCACGGTTCTTCGAGGCGTTTCATAAGATACAGTTCCGAGGTGGTCAATGGCATCCATGATCGGTAGGTTCATCTGAGGTTTTTTTGTCGTCCGTTACATAGCGTGCTGGTTCTATGTCGACCTAACTCTGCTCCGCTTTCTGCAGGACCCTCGTCCCGCCAAAAAAAACCTGGTAGTTACTGCATGTTACATAGCTGCTGTGTGGAGCGTGATGTAAGCAGCTATATAAATAGGATATTAGGTGATTGTTGTTTTGTCTATGGGAAGGCACACTAGGTGGTGTGATTTTGACTTTTCTTTATGTATGGCATGAGTTGTAATGTAAGAGCTTTGGATTGCTGGTTTTGGTCCATGACTCACGATTTTGCTGTTTGCGGTAAACATAATTTCCTGGACTGTAAAATGTGTTGCATTTTTATGGTGTTTCTATATACTCAGAAATATATGAAACTATTTATTCGTTACAGAAACTCTAATACGACAACTGACAAGTTTCTTTAGCGAGGATGAGCAATGTTTGGAGGATGTTGGTGCACTCCTTGCCGAGCCTGATGAAGATTGGTCAGGCAAACCTTTCAAGCACTCCTCTAACAAACCTGCACTTTTGAGCATTCCACATGATAAACCACAAGCATTGATGGCAGGGGAAAACATCAAACACTCCCCCAACAATCTTTTTGCATTCTTTTTCCGTTCCGAATTTTGTAGAGTGTCGTCGCTCAGCTTAGCACGTCTTGCCTGCCTTCTTTCTGTCTGGAGAGTCATGGCCGACCGGCGCAGCTTCTCCTTCCCTCCGCCGCTGCTGCACCTCCGCCTGCCCTGCTGCCGCCACTCGCATCAACGACGCCCAAGGTCGCTCGCTCCTACTCCCCCTACCTGCACCTCTCCTCGCCTCCCACTCTCTCCCACTCTACCACACTCCTCTTCTCTCCATCTCACATGTTCATTCTCTCACTCCCCTCCTCTCTCGCCCCCTCTTTCCCACTCCCATCCACAACCTCCTCCTTGCAAGTGATTTACCTCCTTTCCCTTCAACCCTATTCCTCTCCCTCTGTCCCTCTCGCTCTTCCTCTGCCCAACCTCCCCAGCTGCTCTCTCCTCTCCTCCACCTCTTCCCGCCCTCCTCCCTGCCAAACGTTTACTTATCCAAGTTTAGCTCTCATTGCTAGTATGCTCCCTCGCTGCTATGCCCTGCAACATGGTCGCTCGTTCAGCAGCCAACGCAACCCCCTCCCTCCCCCCTCCCTCTCCCCTGGTCCCCTTCCACGAGCCTCTGGCAGCGCTGGTGCTGGAGGAGTGTGGCACAGCATGGGGATTGTCGGCGAACGAGTGGCACGTGGGGGGCGAGTGCGACACGGCGCAGTTCATTGCCTGCGATGCCAACGGGCTCGTCACTGGTATGTAGGCAGGGTGGAGGGGTATGGGGGGGATGGGGGGACAGCATGGTGGTTGTAGCGGCGATGGAGGATGGGGCGGGAGAGAGGGTGCAGTGAACCATAGAAGCCATTGACATGCTGTCAGCGTGCTGTGACTGTGCTTCATTTGTTTACTGCCTCCCTGCACCCGTGTGTGTGTGTGTGTGTGTGTGTGTGTGTGTGTGTGTGCACGCGCGTGTGTGGGTGGGTGCGTGCGTGCACACGCATGTTTGCTTGTGTGCATGCACATGTGCATGTGTGCATGTGTACCCTCAACACAATGCAACAGGTCGCTGAAAAGCGCAGGTCTACTTGGATCCATCCCAACATCTCTTGGCACTCTCACCTCTCTCACAAATCTGTACGCCTCTCACCTCTCTGTACGCCTATCGCACCACTCTGTGTGCACCTGTCACAACTCTGTATTGGGCACTCCTCATCATCTCCTCATTCGTAGCGTCTCAGCCTCTTGGTGCTGTGGTGCAATTTAACCTGTGCTACAATCTGTGCCACAACCTGTGCCACAACCTGTGCTACAATCTGTGCTACAACGTGCCAGTGCTATTACTACCTGCCTGCGCTACAACCTGTCCTGTGCGACAGCATGTGCTGCTACAACCTGTGCTACAAGTTGTGCTGCAACCTGTGCTGCAACCTGAACTGTGCTACAACCTATGCTGCTGCAACCGGTGCTACAACCTGATCTGTGCTGCAACCTGTGCTAAAACCTGTGCCGCAACATGTGCTGAAACGTCCTTATCCTTTCTAGGCGCCTCATCAGCCTTATCCACCCCACCCAGCCCCCCCCTGCCCTCCCCAATTCCTGCCCGTGGCGCTCTTCCCTACTTCTGTGGGTTGTGCTGCCATGCGCGCAGAAGCCTGTGTTTCAACGCCTTGGAGGGCCCCATCCCGGCATCCTTCAGCGCGCTGGCCTCGCTCGCCCACCTGTGAGGCAGAGGGACACGTGGAGGGAGGGAAGGATGGAGGGAGGGAGGGTGGGAGGGAGGGTGGGAGGGGGGAAGGGAGGGAGGGATGGGGGGAGGGAGGGAGTGGGGGAGGGAGGGAAGGAGGGCGGGAAGGAGGGAGGGAGGGGGGGGGGTAGGGAGGGAAGGAGGGCGAGAAGGAGGGAGGGAGGGAAGGGCGGGAGCAAGGGAAAGGAGGAATGTTTAAATCAAAAGCGCATTCAGATATGTGGTTGATTTCTTGGGTGTTGATCCTCACTGGTACTGTGCAGTGCAATGTAGTGCACTTGTATATTGCGGGGTGACTATCTCGTCCCACTTTCCTGCACTCCTCACCTCTGCCTGCGCCCAGGAGCTCTCTTTGATTCTCGATCATTTTCCAATTTCATTCTCCCTCTGTTCTCTCCTACCCCCTCTCTCTCAAGCGGCCCTTGCCTCCCCCTCTCTCCCTCTTCCCTCTCCCCATCTCTCTGTTTGAACGGCAGTGATCTGCAGTCCAACGCGCTAAACGAGTCCATTCCAGATGCCATCTCGCAGATGACTGCTCTCACAGGCCTGTGCGTGCCATTCCATTCGCATCTCATCTTACATCACCCTTGCATGCTTTGTGCACTGGCACATGCACATGCTCATACACCTGCACATGCGCTAGCACATCCTTCACGTGCTCTCATGTGTCACCTCACCTCTTCTCACGTCACACCATCGTCCCCCCTTGTCTTATGGCTCATGGCATGAATGCTTACGGCATGGTTGTACCTGTCCCTCTGTGTGCTCTCACCATACTCGTCCATGGGCCTTCATGGCCCACCCAGCAGCTTTTAGCGCTCCACATCCTGGTTTCACTCCCATGCCCCTTTACCATGCCTCCCTCCCATGCCTCCTTACCATGCCTCCTTACCATGCGTCCTTCCCATGCCTTTTTGCCATGCCTCCTTACCATGCCTCCCTCCCATGCTGTTACCACACCTTCACATGTGAATGAGAATTCTCAACATTGTACCCACGCCTCTCCATCTCCCATGGGCGCATGTCCCCATCGCAGCCATCTCTCCAACAACCAGCTGTCTGGTGCCATTCCCCCCGCCATAGGCACCCTCACGGCCCTCCAAGAGCTGTGAGTGTGCCATCCATTGGCAAACCAGGTAGCCATAGACGAGCATGCAGCCACAGACGACCCAGCAGCCGTGGACGACCCAGCAGCCGTGGACGCCCCAGCAGCCGTGGACGCCCCAGCAGCCGTGGACGCCCCAGCAGCCACGGACGAAGCATCCCGCAGGATTTCCTGCCCGGAAGGGCATTCTTGCCTTCTTGTCTGCCTGCCTTTGGTTTCATGGTAGATAGCGATCGGGTTGGATTCACTTGTGTGCTCTTTCATTCTCGTCTTCTTCTTCTCTCCTACAAGCCCCTCTGTGTGTCTCTGTGGACGTGTGATCGCTCCCCTCAACATCTCGTGGTGTGTGTCTGTGGACGTGCAATCACTCACCCCTGCAGCAACCTTGCGCACAACATGCTCACAGAAAGCATTCCCACGGAAATGGCCAGCTTGGTGATGCTAAAATCCCTGTCAGTGCAATGACTTGCCATCTCAGTCTGTTCTAGTGCCCGCCCGCCAGTCCGTTCGAGCTTTGAGACGTTTCAAAGCTTTGGAGACGAATCAAAGCCTGGTGCTGCTTCAGCACCTATGTCAGTCAGAAGAGTGACTCACTGTAGCACCACCCCCGCCAGTCCATATCACACACTCTGCTGGAGACAATCACTCACATAATCTTGCAATGCATCATACATGCATGCATATGCTCTCTCATTCCCCACACTTTCTCATGCCTTGTGCCCTCCATGCCTTGCATGCACCCTCGCTCACATCCCCTGCTCTGTACATTTCCATTCCAATCATTGCTCTCGTTCTTGTTGATTGCTTTTGTGTTTATCAACTCATTCAATCCAGTCGTTCTCCACTGTAAGCTCAAGAGTCACCTTGGTCCTCTGAATGCGCCCATCACAGCTCTCTGGACGACAACAAGCTGGGAGGCACCATCTCTGAAGCTCTGAGTACCCTCACCAATCTGACTTACCTGTCAGTTGCTCCCTCCCTCCCACGTCCTTCCCTGCCTCACAGACCCTCCCTGCGTCACAGCCCTAGCCTACCCTTCCCCCAGGCTCACACCACGGCTGCGCATCTTTTACCCTGCGTCGCTCTCCCTGCGTTGCTCTCCCTGCGTCGCTCTCCCTGCGTCGCTCTCCCTGCGTCGCTCTCCCTGCGTCGCTCTCCCTGCGTCGCTCTCCCTGCGTTGCTCTCCCTGCGTCGCTCTCCCTGCGTCGCTCTCCCTGCGTCGCTCTCCCTGCGTCGCTCTCCCTGCGTCGCTCTCCCTGCGTCGCTCTCCCTGCGTCGCTCTCCCTGCGTCGCTCTCCCTGCGTCGCTCTCCCTGCGTCGCTCTCCCTGCGTCGCTCTCCCTGCGTCGCTCTCCCTGCGTCGCTCTCCCTGCGTCGCTCTCCCTGCGTCGCTCTCCCTGCGTCGCTCTCCCTGCGTCGCTCTCCCTGCGTCGCTCTCCCTGCGTCGCTCTCCCTGCGTCGCTCTCCCTGCGTCGCTCTCCCTGCGTCGCTCTCCCTGCGTCGCTCTCCCTGCGTCGCTCTCCCTGCATCGCTCTCCCTGCGTCGCTCCGCCTGCATCGCTCTCCCTCCTGCAGACACATAAAAACCTCTATGCAGGCTGCTATCCTCTATGTATGTCCCCTTTTGAGTCGACTCAAATGCAGGATGCCATCCTGTATGTCCCTGGCTGGACGTAGGTTTGGATCACCAGCACCTCGGTCGTTTCATACCTCCAGCTCCTTTTCTAGCCTGTAACCTGGAGTGACACGCAGCTAGCATGTGAGTGACTTCACACCATGCTGCATGCTGTGTGCTGCTCGCAGGTCAATGGCCAACAATGAGCTTGAGGGGTCCATCCCTGCCTTCCTCTCTTCCTTCACTGCACTTACCCGCCTGTCAGTGTACCCACATACCCACCTGTCAGTGTACCCACATACCCACCTGTAAAAGCTTGCCAAGCAAAATTGATGTCACCTCTTTCCTCCCTTATGCATCTATTGCATCTACACCCTCTATCCCGCCGCTCCCGTCCACCAGATTCCATTTGTGCACCCTCTCCTTTGTCCCTTTTACCTCACTCCCTGCCTCCCTCTTTCCCTGCCTCCCTGCCTCCCTCCCTCCCTCCCTCCCTCCCTCCCTCCCTCCCTCCCTCCCTCCCTCCCTCCCTCCCTCCCTCCCTCCCTCCTTCCCTGCCTCCCTCCCTCCCTCCCTCCCTCCCTCCCTCCCTCCCTCCCTCCCTCCCTCCCTCCCTCCCTACTCTCTGGCTGGTAGCCTCAACGATCTCTCCCCACTGTCCAATATAATCGGACTTCGTGTGAAACCACTGTTACTCTCCCATCCACCCACCCATGTACTCTCCCTTACAACCCCCTCCCCCCTTCCTCTCGCTCATTCACATCCCTGAACCTCCCCACCCTCCTTTCCTCGCTCCCAGTTGATCTCTCCACCCTCCACTCTTCCCCACGATCTCCCCCCTCCCTCCCACTTTTTGCACTGCACCCATCTGCACCGCACATCACCCAGGGAGCTGTCCAACAACGACATATCCGGGCCCCTCCCCACCACCGTCAGGGGGCTCGCCCGCGTGGAAGCCCTGTGAGCCATGCAATGCATGCAGTGCGCGTGACAGAGAGAGAAGCACTGGGTGGGGAGCTGGGGTCACTGTCTCCCACAGCATTGCAACGCCTTTTGACACTTCTTAAAAGTCACTCCATTGCAACGCCTTTTGACACGTCTCAAAAGTCACTCCATTGCAACGCCTTTTGACACGTTTCAAAAGTCACTCCATTGCAAGGCCTGTGCCGCACTGCAATATGCATCTCCCACCTGTATGGCCCACCCGTCCAGGCTGATTTCGAACAACAGCCTCTCAGGCCTTATCCCCCCTTCCATCTCTGGCCTCTCTCGGCTTCTCACTCTGTATGTGTCCCCCTCGCTATGTGCCCTCTCCCCACCCTGCTTGTACTCATCTCTGTATGTGCCCCCCTCGCTATGTGCCCTCTCCCCACCCTGCTTGTACTCATCTCTGTATGTGCCCCCGTCGCTGTGCCCCCTCCCCACCCTGAATGTTCTCGTCTTGGAATGTGCCATCATTTCTTAATCCTCAGCCATTCATATGACCCTTTCTGTTGCCTTCCTCCCCGGTTCTCCTCCCCAATTCCTCCTCCCCGGTTCCTCCTCCCTAGTTCCTCCTCTTTCCCCTTGCCCAGCTCCCTCCTCTTGCGCCTCCCTCTCAAATCCTCCCCCCTTCCAACCTCTCTCCCCTCTTCTTTCCCCTTTCTACCCTTCCATCCGCCTTGGTTTCTCGGCCAGGATGCTAGACGGCAACGCATTTGAGTCTCCTGTCCCCACAAGCTTGAGTAAACTGCGGGCGCTGAAGCGCATGTGAGTTATGTTGTGCCCTGACTCACTGGAGTGTACATGATGCGACAGCTATGGCATGCTGTGGCAAGCAGAGAGGCAAGAGGCATGAGGCACGCTAGTCAGTAGATAGGCTAGTCTTGCATTCAAGTCCACGGGTCTCTCTCATGTGACTTTTGAGGCGCCTCAAAAGTAGTGCATGCAAGCCCCGGGGTCTCTCTCATGTGTGCGTGGACGCTTGCTGTAAATTCGCATGCAGCATGGGTGTGCATAGGGGCAGTGGTCTGCAGGATAGCCGGTTGTAGAGATTTCTCGAAGGCCCATCGAGGCGCCTGAATAGCTAGTTGTTGAGATTTTTAGAGAGCCTAATCTTACAGCGAGTGATTCTTCTGAGCGAGGCAGCGCAAGTATGCATCCAAAAAATTGGTTGATTTTGCGTGTGAGAGTGTTCGCTGTGAGAAGTGATTAGGGGAAGGAAAGAGAAGCCAGCAGTAACTAAGATACCTCAGGCTGAATCCGTATATATTTCGAGGCTGGGGTAGTCTTGCATTTGAAGCCTTTGATTTCACGCACCACTTTCACTTCACTTCTTCTATTCCACTCACTCATCCCTCTCTTTTGCTCTCTCTCCCCCATCTCCACCCCGTTCTCTAACTCGCCTGTTTCCCTGGGCCAAGGCAGGGACCTGAGCAAGAACAAGTTCTCAGAGGACTTTCCGACATTCCTCACCCAGATGACACGAGTGGAGCACATGTGAGGGCATGAGTGCATGTGAGCACATTAGCGCATGTGAGCACACGAGTGCATGTGAGCACACGAGTGCATGTGAGCACACGAGTGCATGTGAGCACACGAGTGCATGTGAGCACATAAATGCATGTGAGCACATGAGTGCATGTGAGCACATGAGTGCAGTGCATGTGAGCCTGTGTCCAATGTTGACATGCCAACACGTCTTGACTCCTCTCCATGGTTCCCACATGCACCCACGTGCATATCTAGATTCGTCTGCACACACCTGAGTTTCCACCGCACATCCTCCCTTCCCTCCCCCACCATCCATATCCACAGGACGCTGAGTGTTGACACGCCCCATATCACCGCATCTCCTCCCCTCCCTCCCCCACCATCCATCTTCGCAGGAAGCTGAGCCACAATAACTTCACAGGCAGCATCCCCGCCTCCATCTCCTCTCTCGCTTCCCTCACCTACCTGTATGCCTTCCTCGTTCACAGACCTGTAATCTTCCCACCCACGCACGCGGCACACCTGAGAGCTTTACTCACACAAACCGTGCACTTCACTCACGCACCTGTGTCCAGCCGTCTCCCAGATACCTATTTCCGTCACTTGCAAGTGCACCTGCGCATCTCATTCGAGACAAGAGTCTGGTCGTGTATTCTGCAGAGTCTGTTTTTTGAGAACTCTCAAAAAACAGACCATGTATCCTGCGGGAAAGTTACGTTGAGTGAGAAACGTGGTATGTCCTGAACGAGAAGACATGGGGGTGGGTTAGTTCTTGTGTTGGGAGGTACCAGCATGTGGGAACCCCACGGCAATCCACGGTTACTCTCCATATCCTCTGTCTTGAAAAACGGTAATGTTTCCCCTTGCCCCTGTGTTTAATACTGGTGGTTGCAGTGCAGTTGGTGAACGACAGTGTTTTCTCTTTCCCTCTCCATCTCCCTCTCCCTCTCCCTCTCCCTTTCGCTCTCTCCTTCACCCTCTCACCCCCGTTTCTTGCTTTCTCAGTGATCTAGGCTACACGTTGCTATCGGGCCCCATCCCCACAGCCATCACCAAAATGCGACGCCTCTCTCGCCTGTAATCTTGAGCTGGCAAAACCAAATGGGACCTTCTATGCACATGTGTAGCATGTGCAAGGCACTTGTAAGCATTCGAGACGCATCTCAAACTGGAGGTGCAAATTTCTCCCTTTGAGCATCAACGCAAGCCCCATCAGCTGTCTCCTCGCCCCCGTGGACCCTATTTCCTTTCACGCCTCTCAACCTTTTCGTTAACTTGCTTCGTCCAATTTCTAGTCTTTGTCACCACCATAATGGTCTTGTTTGCCCCTTACTTCGCCCTCTTCTTGTCCTGTGCTGAGCGCACCTTCTTTGAGGTGCCTCGAAACCCTCTTATTGAGCTGAGCGCACCTTCTTTGAGGTGCCTCAAAACCCTCTTATTGAGCTGAGCGCACCTTCTTTGAGGTGCCTCAAAACCCTCTTATTGAGCTGAGCGCACCTTCTTTGAGGTGCATCAAAACCCTTTTATTGAGCTGAGCGCACCGTCCTAGCCCTCCTCAATGCCGCCACCCCCTCATGATTTGCTGCATTGCTCTCCACCATGGGACCATGCGTCATTCCACACACCACCATGCGTGGTCAACCCTCACGCAGTGACCTTCGCATACCAACACTCTCGGACTCCATCCCGGCCTCCATGGGCGCCATGCTCAATCTGCAGTACCTGTCAGCCGCCCCTCCCTTCCCCCCCTCCTCTCCAACCCTCTTTTCCGCATCTCATTCACACACGTGGCCTCAAGTCCTCGGTAGGGCCTGTCGTCTAAACTCATCCCTCCTCTGCTTGCCGTTCTTCTGTCGCCACCACGCTACACCAAACCTCTGCTGCTCCTCCCCCCCTTAAGCTCTTCGGCATGTAACCACTCCTTGATCCCTCTGTCTGGTTTCATTCTCCAAGTTTGGAAAGTCTGAACCAATCTCCCCAAGCCTCACCCGACCATCTTCCCCCCACCCCCTCCTGGCTTTTGTCCCATAACTCCGTCTTCTCTGTCTCACTCACAGCTATGTCAACTACGATGCAACGCCATGCGGTGATGTGGAGTCAGTTTGCGAGGTGCAGCAGTACTTCGGCACAGCCTTCTGCCGTGCCTGCTTTGACTTCTGCCTCCAGTGCTCGGACTGGTCCTACGACGACAGCGGTAACGGCGATTACGGCGATTACTGGGGTAAGGAGGAGAAAGAAGGGATGTTTTGAGTTGCAATATATCACTTGGCATAGATCATCTCGTTATGATCAACCGTGTGTTTGGGAGCATGAGAAGGAGTGCGCAGGGGAAGCATGGGGGAGGAGAAAAGGTGAGTAGGGAGAGTCGAAATGTGGGGAGGTGAGAGTGTTGAGAAATAATGTTCTCAGATTATCACAGAAACATCGTGTTTGAGAGCTCTCTGTTTGTACTCACAACAACTGAGCTCGTGTGAGTTGACTTGAATGAGCGAATGTGGAGGAGAGAGCATGGGTGGGGGAGATTCCATGATTTGGAAGTTAGCTAAGATGGAGGGTGAGAGCAGTGTTGAATCATGCATGCGAGTACACAGCACACCACTGCACCGACCTGTCCCTGTGTGCATGCTCTGGGTCGCACCCACTTGCTCGCCTGTGTATTTGAGTGCTTGTCCGCGCACGTGCTCCTGCGTATGTTAGTGTGCAGTCAGTGTGCAAGCATGTCAAGGCCATCACGTGGTTCTGTGAACTGACTGCGCATGGGCCTGACTTATGTAATACGAACACAAGAGTCAGGGGTCAGTTGTGCCCATGTGCTCATGCCATGCCACACTAAGGGTGCAGGTAAAACACGTGTACACACACACACACACACACACATACACACACACAGAGACACACACACACACACACACACAGACACACACAGACACACACACACACAGACACACACACACACACACAAACATACACACACACACACACACACACACACACACACACACACACACACACACACACACACACACACACACACACACACACACACATACACACACACACACACACACATACACACACACACACATACACAGCTCCAGACATATCGTACATCACAATCACACCCATTTCCTCCTCCTGCGCTGCCAACAGCTCCTCCAAAGTGCCGGAAGAAGCGCCGTGCCTGCTCGTTCAAGTCTTGCCCGGGCCGCATCTGCATTCCCTTCATCCGCAGCTGCAAGGGCTACAAGTGCCTCTGATGCGCACTCATGTACTGCATATGCATGCTATGCATGCCTTTTCCCAGTTTTCCGTATTCCCCTCGATATCAGCCCCCAAGTGCTAGTACTTTTTGTCTTTAAGGTGGGGAGTTATCTAGTTGTTCGTCAGGGCCCTTGATTTCTACGTCATGGCTATCCTGCTCTGTACTGTGGCCATGCTACTGGTATAACTGACACTGAGTTGTAGGAGGAACTCTATGCTGTAAATGGTTCCAATAAAAGTTTTCAGATGTGACAAAATACAGTGCCAACTTCGCATTGGTTAGTGCCAACCAGCAGAAAAACAAAAAGTTATGCGATACCAATGGGTGTCGTATTCCTAACCTCGTATCAAGCGAACCTCATATCTGGCTCACACTGAGAATTCCCCTAAACCAGGGCCTCACATTCGTTTGGGAATACACTGAGGCCTCAGGGCAGTTTTTAGGAAATCAGAATTTGCCCTGAATCAATCGGGCCTGGTGTGCTCAGTTCGTGGGCATCAGTTGCGTATCACTAATCTCAGGCGATCAGTGATCAGTTGCAATCTCTCGCTGTGCAGCTTTTTTGGCCAAAAACCTTACTGTAGCAAGGTTACGAAAGAGTAAACATGGTAACCGATCCGCTTGTAGATCGCGACTGAAGATAGATGTTGTACTTCGTCCTAATTCTTTCTTTCTTTATTGGTCATTCTGTTCGCTCTTGCGGTTCGAAGCCCAGCATGGAAGAAGCGAGTGCATGGTTGGATTGGAACAGACGACTACTACACCCGTGCTCGGGAGGAAAAACGGTCCGTAATCCCACGCGGGCCTCCGTAACCAGGGCCCCGTAATGGGGCGAGGGTTACGGTGTCCTCACGCGGGGCACGCCAGGAAAACGACGAACCCAGCCCCAGGCACTCGGCCGCTCACCCCTGCCACGAAATCGGGCGGCCTCTCAGAGGTCCAATGGTGATCCCCGATTGATCCTAGGGAAGGGTTACAGGCGCGTTTGCCTGGGGGGTTATGGGCGCACTGACCCGCTACTGAAACAAGCCCTTTTATCCCAATGGTCTAGTGGTTGGGATTCTGACATGGTATCAGAGCGAAGGTCTCGGGTTCGAATCCCGGTGTATGCACTTCGGGCATCCCAGTGCGGGGGGGTGTCAGAGGTCCACTGGTGATCCCCGATTGATCCTAGGGAAGGGTTACAGGCGCGTTTGCCTGGGGGGTTATGGGCGCACTGACCCGCTACTGAAACAAGCCCTTTTATCCCAATGGTCTAGTGGTTGGGATTCTGACACGGCCGACCCTTGGGCTTAGCTGGGGGCCGAGCCACGATCGCACGTGGCTCGGCCGAAAGCTGACGCAGCCCTGGCCCGGCTGACTCAGCTCGGCTGGGACCACCTGACCCAACCGATGACCAGGGCTGGGCCTGGCTGACGCAGCACGCACCCGACTGGTTACCCGGCGTCGCATCTTTCCGATTTCTCGGTTCGCGAAATCCGTAACCTTGCGTCATATTGCCCCTGCGAAAACCTGTCGGCCTTTTTCCAATTCGCTTCGCTCGTGCAGTAGTGGAATACAGACTGCTTCCCCATCTGCCCACGGTTTCACGAGCTATTCGACTTCACACCCCATTTTTAAAATGCACTAGCATGGATTTTCGCACCTAAAATGTGAAGAAATGAGGAATGAATGAACTAGCAAGCAGGTGGGTACAAGTAGGAAAACCTAGAAGTGTTGTACCCCATATTATCTACCCCAATACAGCCTACATAGACTATAGCATATAAGTTTGACACACCCCCATAGGCAAAGTGGGGGAGAACAAGAGGTCACAAGACCAGTCAAGCAAAGCAAAGCAAAGCAAGCTCAGGGTGGATCACAACGTCACCACACAGTCCGAGCACAAGTGCAAGGCCACAAGGCCAGATCACATGCAGGATCATATATAAAGGTAAACAAGTAAGTGCAGGTATAGTAAGATCACAGTACAAGCAAGGTCAAGAAGTGAGCAAGTGAGGCCAAGTAGGCAGAAGACCTAGCATCGTACAGAAACGCTGATCATCACAAGGCGGAAGTGCCTTGGTAAAGATATCAGCAGTGTTGGCCTCAGAGGCCACGTAAGCAAGGCGCAGCTGACCACGCTGCTGGAGCTCACAAGC